GGTGGCGTGGGGATGGAGGGAGGGGGCGTGGGGGTGACAGCTCTGGGTGCCGAGGGGTCCCCGCTGTCATCTTCCGTTTTAAACCCTGGCTTTTATATTCCCGGGGGGAAGAGAAGGAAAAAGCCTTTCCCCATGAATTCCAGGAAGAAAACAAAATAGCTGTGGGAAAGAGGACAAAGCCTCCATTTATGGCCAAGCATCAGGTGCGGCAGCACACCTGGAAGGCCGGGAAGTGCTTTTCACCATCCAAATTCTTCCTTAAAATCCCCTTCACCAGCCTTTTCCTGTCCTGGCTCCATCACCACACTGGGATGCTGCCTGTCCCGGGCAGATCCCTGCCTCCCGCCCAGCCGAACTCACCCAAAACCGTTTCTCCCAGCTCCTCACCAGCCATCGGGTTTTGGCTCACTGTAACCCAAACGGGCTCTCGAAGGCTCCGGGTGTGCGGCATCGGGGACAGCCACAGCATCCCCTGCCAAGCTGGCTCAGGGTAAAGAGTCTGCACAGCACTGGGCATAAAAGGGCGTTGGAAGAGATCCCTACCTCATATACGTAAATAAATTGGGCCCTAATTTGGGGCAAACAGGTCACTGTCAGTGCCTTTCCCAGCTCTGCAGCAACGTGGGGACTGAGCAGCCATCACCCTGCTCCTCTGGGGCCAGGACACAGGAAGTTTTAATTAGAAAAAGTATCTTCTTGAGCATCTCTAGAGGGAGGTTGAGCTGCTCTGAGGAAGTGGCACAACAGCATTTCCCTGTTACCGGTCCCCACAGATACCCCGTCCCATCCCACAGGGAGAAGCGGGTGGCTCCAAGCCCCTGGAGCAGAGCATCGAAGACAAAAATGCTGCTGCCGGCACCCGGGGCAGGAGATGCAGGGCTGGCAGCCATCAGGGGAGAGCAGCTCCAATTAACCAGGCAAGCAGATGCCCGCAGGTCGCTCGCTCGCCCCCAACACGATAGCTAGCAGGTACAGCCCAGGAGCCTTGATGTTCCAGCAGGCACAGGTCTTGCTTCTCTGGCCACCCCAAACACCTGCTGCTCTTTGCTTGCCCTGTGGCACAGGGCAGTAGGTACACACCGACACTCTTAAGAAAAGGGGCATGTCTGCGTTCTTCTCTCCATCACATTCAGGGCTACAGGGATGCAGTGTTATTGCAGGTTAAGGACACGATGGCTGAAGCGAGCAGCTTTGGTCCCAGGGCTCTGCGTAACACCAGGCTCATCTCCAGCACACACAGGAAAGCAGGAAAAAGCCAAATAGCTCTGCCCTTTCTCTTCCAGTTTGTTTTAAGTCAGCAGAGCATCAACAAACAGGAGCCTGACGGTGGGAAAAGCCACATGGGACGCACTGTGCTGGACCACAGTCCAAAGTCAGGGCAGCCAGGCAGATCCGAGCTCCGGTCCGCATCTCCGTTTACACTGCTGAAGCTCCCGCCTCAGATTCATTTTACCTGGTGAAATCTGAGCACTTCCAGATGCTGCATCAGCCTTAGCAGCAGCACACTATGAGAAGGTGCATGCAGCCAAGCCAGAGCCCTTTGTGTTAACCCCTGGGCACAAACAATGGATTTTCACAGGCATTTGTTTCAGTTGCGTGTTCAGGCATTGCCTTATCAGTTTTAAGTACACAGCTTTGGATCCAAGAAGCACTTTGTAATTCATCAGCCCCAGCATTTTAGTGTTAGGGCTGGAGCACCTCTGCTATGGGGACAGGCTGAGAGAGTTGGGCTTGTTCAGCCTGGAGAAGAGAAGGTTCTGGGGAGACCTTACAGCACCTTCCAGTGTCTGAAGGGGCCAGAAAGGAAGCTGAGGGGGAGGTGGGGTCTTTTTACAAGGGAACATAGCAACAGGACAAGGGATAACAGGTTTAAATTGAAAATGGGTTAGATATCAAGGAAAAAAAAAACCCAAACCCACCAAACTCTTCCTGCAGTGGAAGTGTCTGTAATAGGGTTGCCTACACTAAGAGAGCTAATGATGACACAACCAGGCTGGATGAGGCTTGGAGCAACCTGGTCTAGTGGAAGGTGTCCCTGCCCATGGCAGGGGGTGGGACTGGGGGGGCTTTAAGGTTCCTTCCAACCCAAGTTCTGATTCTACACTCTGGCACACACAATCCGGGCTGGACACCTTGCAGGGCATGGAGCACAACTGGACCTTAAGTACCTAACTCCCTTCCTCCCCCGGGTGGCCCAGAATTGAAATGTATAAATCCTCTCCTGATCAGATCCAGGGTAGAGGAAGCAGTTGTGTTTCCTGGAGAAGAGATTTTTCCTCCAGATTGATTTTACCTGCCACATCACCTCCCACTGCATCTAAGGAAGCAAAGCCCCAAAATCACCCAGGGTCATTTTGGCCAGTCAACACCCCAGAGAAGATGCTGCCACCCACATCTTGCATGAGGCAAAGCCCTTGAGAAAGCTTCAAGCCCTGTAGACACAAAGTTCCCAGCAGAAACCCCCACAACCCCTCAGCACTACAAGGATGAAGCAGTGTCCAGCACCTTGTTAGGAAGCTGCAGCACATCTGTGCAGTGCATCCACTAGCAAGTGGTACCCATAGCTGCAGGGATGGACACAGGGCACCAGAGCTTGCTGCAAGCTGAACTCAAGAGCTCCATCAACTCCATCCTCACCTTCCACTCTACCTGCAGCTGGAGACCTTTACACAGCAAGGGACAGTGACATGCAATGGAAAACCTGCAAGACAGGTCTCCTCAGTGTTAAAAGGGCAGCTCTAAGGTAGAGCCAGATCAATGGGCTCCAGGCTGGTGGAGAGCATATCTGGGAAGCTTCAGTGGGAGGTGAATTAGCTCCCATGGCAATAACTGCCTCCAACACTGCCTTCCTGCCAAAGGACCAGCATTCACACAGCAGCTCCTGTGTCCAGATGCACGTACTTCCATGTGGGGTGGAATAGCACACACAGGGATAAGAGTGACCCACCTGCCCTCAGCCAATTGCCTTCTCAGTTAGAAACAACTCTGAGAGCTTTCAGAGCTGCTTCAGGCACTCTGAGTTTCAGCACAAGCACCAATACCCAGTTGGATTTGGTGGTAGCACCCTGCTCTCCAGCAGCTCAATGCAGCTAGCACAAAGTTTCTGGCTGCACTTCACACCCATAAGGTCAAATACATTTCTCCATGGCCTTAGACACCACAGAAAAACATCTGTAGTGTTTTTAACTGCAGCTTATGAGAGGGGAAAAAAAAGGTAAGAAGTACAAAGCCAGAAGTGTAATTTATTGCCAAGTTTCCAAAGTAGAACACACTCAGCATCTTTGCTCCTCTTTCTGTAGAGCTCAGATATCCAAACAGAGACACCTCCATCCACCAGCTCACAGCTGCTTAGTACTTCATCTTCAGAAGTCAAAGTCTTGCTTCTCCACTGAGAAGTTGTATAGTCCTTCCTCGTCAGTCCCAGGCTGCAGGTCTGGATTTTCCTGGAAGGAAGTTGGCAGCCATTAAAGGCTCTGCATCTTAGTTTTACTAAGTTTTCTGAACCAATTTGCCTGAAGCTTTTTATAGCAGCTTATTGTTTTATTCATGTTAACACACACCCAAGCAGTTTGTTTCAGCAGAAAAAAAAATAAATTTCATTCTAACTGGACTCTTGGAGACCAGACCAAGTTTCCTGCTCTCCACAGCACACTGAAGCCACAGGGTCCCTGCACCTCATGCACAAAAAGCAGCCAAGCCCATGGGCTCAAACACCAGAGGTAGAAGAAAATGACAGAGCTCACTCTTAATATCCTGCTTGGAACACCACTAAGCCAGGACTGCTTTGGAGAGACATTCCCTGAGCATCCAGCCCCTCGGGCAGGTGTGTAGGAGAGCTGCCTCCACACCCTCTCACAGATACATCCCACAGACCTTGTTCTGAGCAAGGGACTAATGCGGACACGTGCTCCCTGCTGCTGCAGTTCACATCTGGACTGAGCCTCAGCTCCCAGACCTGCCAAACCACTAAGCCTCTTCCCTGATGTTTCCTCATCTGTGAAACTACAGCTAGGACCAAACATGGCACCTGTGACAGTCACAGGATGCTTACACCAGCTAGCTGGTGTCATATACTCTTTTTCTAGAAGTTCGTTATCACAAGAAGGGTCAAGTAACCCAAGTGCAACCTGAGCAGCAGGCTTCCATTCATAGTGACAAGCTAGCTCAGCTCCAAAGGAGGAAGTTTCTCCACATTTGCTATTCATATCAGCAACTGCAGTAACTCCAGCTGATGCCAGTTTAAATTCCAGCAGCAAGATGCTATCAAGGCATCTCTCAGTTGTGCAACTCATCAGCTGAGAACTCAGAGCTCTCACACCTTTAAAAGCAACTGGGACAGGCTGCAAGGGCTACTCTAGTCATGTACAGGTCTTCCTAAAAAACTATTTCAGCATCCTTAAAGCCTGTGCTTCATCCTAGTGTGCAATAGCTTCATATTTTCAGAGGAGAAACAGCAAGAGCTCACATACCTCACCAGAAAAGTATTTCTCTATGATTTTCACCGCAGCTTGGTAGACTATGTTGTTTTGGTGGGTTTGCAAGGCTTCAATTTTCTCCAGACCATCCAATTCTTCCAGCAGCAGACACAGCTTTTTTGTCTCTCCCACCTTCTCAGCTGCCTATAACATCAGATAACCAAGCAGGAAAATGTAACTTCATATCAGTAATAGGCCTGAGATGGTCTTTACGGCAAGATCCTGATCCACAAGTCAAAGGACCACAGTCCCTGCATCTACAGCCCCTACCCAACCCCAGGGATAGGGCTATTATGCATATGAAACATTAGTCCCTGCTGGGATCACTGCACAGTGGCTTGGTTGCCAACCAAACGAGCTAGCCAAGCCCTGCTGAGGGACACCCACACGCAGAGAATCAGGTGTGACCTGCCACCCACCATTTCACTTGCAAAAGCCATTTCACTGGCTCAAAGGTGCTTTCAAGCAAGATGCACACAGGCAGCAGTTGGTAGGGAGCCAAGCTGAAGCACCCCCAGGACCACTTAGTTCTCCTGCCGTTGCATTTCTCCAAGACCACCATTTTTGTCCAGCTTGGGAAGTAACACATAACCTCTTTTCTCTTCCAGAAAGACTAGGCTAAAGTCACAGGAGGTGATGGGGAACACTTTGGGTACTTGATCTTGTCAAGCCCTTCAGGCAACCAAAGGACATCCCGAACAAGGCAGTCAACAAGCTTTAACCCCCCCTCCTGCAAGAGCAGCAGCTGCTCCAGCCCCTCAGTGTCTCATACCTCACTGCTCTTTTGGGGAAAGGATGTAGAGATCATTGGAGAACTTACCAGGAAGAGATTTGAAATAGTATCCAGGATGACCAGGATAGTTTTGCTGTCGTTGGCCAAGAGGAGGTTGAGCAGAGGTCGGAGGACCCCAGCCTCGACAAGATCAGCCACCTGGTCCAGAGTTCCTCCTGTTGTGAAGTTGGCTACTACCCACACAGCCTCCCTCTGCGCTTTGAAGTCTCCCTGGAAAAGCAGCACAGTGAGAGCACTGCCCATTCCCAAGCTTCAGCATCCCTCTAGGATCAGTGCAAGGAGGGGATAGCTGTTTCCCTCACACGGTTTGGGCTGACCCAAGTCCCCCTGCATGCTGAACACTGGGTGGACACCCAGCAAAGCTTCCAAAAGCAGCTCCAAGCCCTGCTTCCATGCAGCTGTACTGACAGGTCCAAGTGCTCAGACTGTCCCAGAGATGTCAACAGCTTTGGGAGACCTCTCAGCTGGTGCATGGGTACGTGCCCACAAACAAGGCAACACAGACCTCAGCACTGCTCCCGCGGCTGTATGTCAGCCCCACAGCCATCCCTCACCTTCCTGAGCACGTCCACCAGCGGTGGCAACAACCCACAGGTGATGAGTTGCTGGATCTGCCAGCACGGTCCTGCCGCGATGTTACTGAGCATCCAGGCAGCTTCCTTCTGTATGTTTGACTTTGCATGTTGCAGGAGAGGGGGCAGGACAGCCAAGACACCAGCATCAATAGCTGCCTGCGTCTGCTCGTCGGTCCCTGTGACGACATTCCCAACGGCACGGAGAGCTGGAGTCTAGACAGACCAAAGGAGACAGAATCCTTACTGCAAGGAATACATGCTAGAAAGTCCAGCAAGATCCCTCACTAAGCACTTGATCCTTCAAATAAGGGAAGCAATGTGGGCAATTACTGTTGTAATTAGAGCTATCAGCCTCTCATTTTGCTCTAAGCAGCTTTAGGGTCTCTAACCATTCGGCTAGCCCCACCGAGCTGGAGCAGAGCAGTGGCTTGACCAACAACTGGGCAGTACTGCAGTCCACAGAGACAGCAGACTGCACTAGCCACTGCCTTCCTCCTACATTAAGGGACCAGGGGCTGGAGATCGCTGATAGTTTCCTACCAGCATGATCAACTCTGGGCTGGCCATTAATTCCACCAGCCTTGGAAGAATCCCTGTATCCACCACAATTTGGATGAGATCATTGGAGCCATCAGCCAGAAAGGCAATGGCCCAGCAGGTGTCACAAATGATGTTCTTGTCCTCGTGTTCCATGAGGCAGATGAGGACTGGCAGTATCTTCTTCACTGCATCCAGGGGAGGGGAGGGGTTCCTGTGTCTGCAAAGGTTTGACAGTGCCCACGTGATGTTCCTCAGGAACCCAACCTGAAAACACAAGGGAGGTGTAAGATCCTCACTGCAGTAACAAGTGAGGAAGAGGTAGCACCCTGCTTCTGGTCCCTACAGCCCAGAGATGTTATTAAGAAGGCTGCTTGATAAGGGCTGAGGCTCATTTGAAGAAGGAGGATGAAACAGGTAAGTTAAGATAGTAAAAGGTAAGTTAAGATAGTAGATTCACCCCCTCCCTAATTTAAAGTTCAGTAACTTCAGCTCTGGTACTGTGACCAACTACAGTGACTAAATAAAGGTGCCAAACCACTTATTTGCTGGGTCCTTGGACAAGTTACAGAGCATTCTTGGGACAAGAACAGGAATTTGGTGTTGTTTTTTTTAATATTAGTAGCTCATTATTCTAGAGTAGGGTTCTAGAATCAAAGATTTGATTAAGTTGCATCATTCAGATAGTTCATCCCAGTAGGGATTCTCCCAGGAGAGCAGTGGAGCTACATTCAAAGGATTGCAGCTACCAAGGGGCACGTATACGAGCTGGTGTTCTATGTTCCTTCCACAGGGCTCCCCAAGCAGAGGCAAGAGAGATTCCATCTAGGAGCAGAGCAGCCAAAAGAGTTGGTTGTTACTAAAATCCCCATCTTCCAGTATCAACTCACAGAAGGCCTGGATGGCGTTTTCTCAACACCAGCTTTCAGGCCATCGTTATGCCTACAGAAAGCACAGAGCTTCCACCGTACCCGGGGGTGGGGAGCCTGGAGGCATCAATACCCCTGAGAGCCTCAGCCCACCATATGCTCCTCCAAGAAGGTCCTTCTCCCCCACAGACAGAGAAAGCAGTGGGGCAGGCACTATTGCAGGAGGTCAGAGATGAGACAAACCCAGCAGTTTAGAGCTACCCAAAAATCAACAGGAGGAAACTTGAAGGGCTAGTTCAGTCCTTCACATGCTTATACAAGTCTACCTTGCACCAGTTTCATCTTACTGGAACAGGTTGCCCAGAGAAGCTGTGGATGCCCCATCCCTGGATGTCTTCAAGGCCAGACTGGATGTGGCTTTGAGCAACCTGGTCTAGTGGAAGGTGTCCCTGCCCATGGCAGGGGGGTTGGAACTAGATGATCTTTAAGGTCACTTCCAACCCAAACCATTCCATGATTCTATGATTCTATTATTCCTAGCCTGAGATGGTCAAAACTAAGACTAGAAGACATCACACTAGCTTAGAGACTGCTTGGCATCCCCTGCTTCATATGTAGCTCAGAGGCAGGGTCATTAAGAGCAGTTTAGGAACAGGTCCCATTCAATTATACAAACAGCTTGTTGTTTATAAGGCAGATGACAGACCCCCATTCACCCAGCACCCAAGTGGTTAAGAGCTGTTAAGGAAAATGAAGGTTATTTACTGGAGTTGCAGGTGACACCAGAGCCAGCAAGGGAGGAATTGCATCATAATTGATAACAGCATCTCTGTAGAGAGGACCATCACCTGTACAGATGAAAAAGGGTTGCTTATTGCATCTGCCCAAGTCAGAAGACATTCAAACAGCAATCAGACCTGCAGCCACAGGCCAGGGCTCACCCACCATGAAGTATTTTCAGGTGGGGAGGATTTAGCAGGTAGCTTGAGTGCCGTCATGGCTAGTTTGGGGCAGGCTAACCAGACCTGACCCATTCTGTTCTCCCTACTGACAACACCAGTGGGTCTCAGCCCAACAGGATGGAGTCTTGCACTTGGCTTTGGCCAAAAATCCCCTTGCAGAGTCAATGCAGGGTCTCAAAGGCTGCCAGGCCACGAGAAGGGACTGAATGGTTGAGGGTTTGAACAGAGGCAGCAGGTTGGAGGCAAAGCTGCAAGGAGACAAGGCTATCTTGAGGAACATCACTATTTTCAGCTCCCCAGCTTGAGCAGTGACCAGCACGCCCCCAGGCCTGGAGACCCCCGCTTACCTGCGATGTTGCCCAGCGCCCACACAGCCTGCTCACTGATGTGCATGTGTGGGGAGGACAGGAGGGAGATGAAGGCCGGGATGGCACCTGCCTCCACCACCGCCCTGGTGTGGTCAGAGGTGCCAGAGGCGATGTTAGTCAGTGCCCAGGCGGCTTCAAACTGCAGGGAAGCATTGTCAGCGTAGCTCAGGAACTCAACCAGTCTGGGGACGATCCCCAGCTCGATGATCTTACTGATAGGGGGGTCCTTCCGCCTGGACAGCATTTTCCTGCAAGAGGTGACACACCACAGACCACCATGAGAAGCTGTGATGCACCGTAACCCTGTGGCCAGGTGCAAGGCTGTGTCCTGTGAGGGAAGCAGCACCCATGAAGCACTAGTTCAGCATCCCGTGTCAGCAAGCCCTCTGTCAGAGGAGATGCCATGGAGAAGCTTCTGCAGGATGCATCCATGAAGATGCTTCAGCAACACCAGGATGTCTGTTAGCAGTCCCCTGGCACACAGAGGTCACTGATCTGGCAGCTTGAGCCAGCCAAGGAGGCCCCAGCAGTGATGCAGCCTCTCCTAGGCCCTCAGGAGACATCCCTGCTGCCAGCTAGGCGATGACTGGCACCCTGTGACCCCTCCTGCACCCACCCAGGTGGCAACAGCCCTGCCCAGCAGAGACCCTTACAGAGTCAGGCTTTCCAGCCCTTATCTTGCACAAGCCTGTGGTACTTGTTTTTCCCCCCAGCCACCCATGAGCCATTAGGAGCCAACATTCCCTGTCCCAGCACAGGGAGGGGGACAGCTCCAGGAGCCCCAGCCAGCCCCTGGTTAGGTTCAACCACCCAGGTCTCTCCCACAGGCACTGCAGATGGAGCCAAGCAAGGCACAAAACTGAGATCCCTCAGGGCAGTTGGGGTTACCAGGCTCCTTCCCCCTTTGGCATGTTCTCAGAGGGCTCTTCCAACATCAAAAGGTGCCTGACAGGACCCACCACAGCTCCACCAGCCACCTCCCTCCCAGCCCGAGCAGCATACCTGGTGGTCTGCGTAGCCTGCAGCTGCAGCTCAGGGTTGCTCCCATTCACAGCTTCGACTATTTCCTCCAAGGACAGCAGAATAACCTGTGTCACAGGGAATGATTCAGTCAGACAGCAAGCTAGGACTCCCTGCAGTTTAATCTCCGCAGTCAATCAGCTGTCTAGACCCAAGTCAGTCACCACTTCATATCTAAGCAATGTCTGTTCCTTATGCAATGTAGTTTCAAGATGAGGCAGAGGAAGAGAATCCACAAAAGCCTTTGAGGCAACCAATCCTTATGATCAAGCACAGAAAGAGTCACTGACACACCACAATGGGCCTACAAGCTCAGTAATTACCCTTCACCATGCAAGGAGCCAGACAGGAGCTTCACCCAGCTTCCAGCAAGGTGGAGCACCAGCCTGTTCTTCCTGCCGTCAAGGGAAGCCACACAGGACATCACGTCCATGCAAAGCACCACAGAAAGTGGCTAGACAGCCAAAAACACTGCATAGTGATTAGGAATGGCACTGATTATTTAACCCAGGTCACTCAAGCTGGACTTGGTAGTGGTCCAAGCAGACAAGACCTATCACACAAGGTGCAGAGCACTCAGCACTCACCTCATCATCTTCAGAGACACTCTCATCGAAATGAATATTCCTGCGCTTCATGATCAGCTCATCCCTCCTGGTTTTTCGCAGCTCTATGCTCACCTCCATTCTCTGCCTCCGCAGGACCTGGAAGGGGGGAGAAGGGCACCCATCCCACCGGTGTCCACATCACCCAATTCCCTAAGGAGCTCATCTCTATGGCCCTCTGTCCAGAGTTTCCTACACGAGGAAGGCAGAGAGCCAGCACCTGATTGCTATGGCCTGGAGGGTTACAGAGGGGGGACAGTAATGCCTCAGTGGCTCCCAAGGACACGGGCTGCTGGATGAACCAACAACCAGTGGGTGTTTGTAAAAGTGGATTTGCTGAACCTGAAAGACAAGCCCACATCTCCTCAACTGGCCTAAAGCAAGCTGACAGATCTCATGGTCTGACATTCATCCCACCCCCCATCTCCGCAGGGATAACTGCTGCGGAGAGCTCAGCAGGCTGGGGCTGAAGCATCTCCCTCCCCCAGCACAGCTCAGAGTCACCCACCCAAAGCTCATGTCCCCCTTGCCAGTGCCACCACACTCCTTGCAGCCCAGCCAGCTCCACACCACATCTCAGAAGCTAACAGAGCACCCCTGTTAGCAGGGCCACCCCACCACCTCTTCTGCCACCCCACGCAGGTAGGTTTGAAAGCAATTGCCCTTCAGAAGCCCTCGCATCAGCTCCTGCCAACAGGCAAAGCCCCACCAGGGGCCACTATCCAAAGTGGATGGCAGAGATTGGCACTTACAGCTGCATCCTTGCCCTTGTTCTTGAACATCCTCATCCGCTCAAGTGGCATCTTGGCAGATTTGAGAGGTGCCAGCTGAAAGCCTTCATGTGCTTTGGGGTTCAGGACAGAGTAGTGTGAGGTCACAGCCACACCAGCAACACCCACCTTCCGCCCACAGAGGGGTCTGGGACGCCCCCACACTCCCACAAATAGCCTGTGCCACACATTTTCTCCCCCACCTCGCCAGCACAGGAAAGGCTGGAGGATCCCTGCCCTCAGTAGGATCCTCACACACTGCAGCTGAGCCACTGAACTACGTGTGAGCACAAGCTACAGAAGCTACAGCAGCTGCAGTAATCCTGTGAGGAAGCCAGACACACCACTGCTCCTGGCTACAGAGACACCACCGTCCTCCAGCTCCGATACCCGGCTTTTGGGTTTCCTTAGGGCCCAAGCCTGGCAAAACTTCTTGTTTCCAAAAAGATCAGCTTAAGGTCCAATTTAAGGACGAGCAGCCACATCCAAGTCTGCCCTCTCACCCCACCACACAGCCCAGAGCTTGGCTTCCCACCCCAGGACCCCCAGCCAGGTAAGTCAGAGTGGCACAATGTGACTAATTCAGCTAAGCAGAGAGTTCTCCTGGAAACCCAGCTACTAGGAAGGGCTGCCAGGTGAAACCTTAAATAGGGACAAATAAAACCATCTCTAAATCTCTCCTAGAGAGCACCACAGACATACACACAAGACCAAGAGCAGACCTTCAGGCAGTTCTTGGTCAGAAAAAGCAAGGTTTCCACCCAGAAGCAGTGGTGTTTTCAGAGCCGCCGGACACCCCCACAAGCCCCTACAGCCAGGCTGTGCATAAGCACATTCACACAGGTAGTGCCTCTGACCTTCCCTCGAGGCTCACAGCCAACACCTGCAGCTCAGATCAGCCTCCAAGAACTCCCCTTCATTCACCTTTCTAAGCTTAAGGGGGCAAGCTTTTTGGATCTTGTCTCCCTGTTTCCTGCCCCAGCAGCCAAGGCTGGGTACCAGCATCAGCTCTTTACCCCAGGAAAACAGCCAGCCACCAAGCTGCAGCCCTCCCCCAGCTCAGAGGCACCAGGATGAGCCCCAAGGCAGCTACACCCCCCCCATAGCCTTAAGCCCTATACTTAAACCTCAAGGTCTGCTTCAGCCTCCCGGCCTCTGCTTCCCCTCCAACAGAGGACAGCAACACCCCAAAAGGTGTTTCATGGGGACCTTCCCCCACTCCACCTCAGCAGAAGTGCACCACAACCCACCCACCGACGAAGCCGAGCAGGAGACCCAGCACAGCCCCAAACACCCAGCAGCCCCCTCACTCCCTCACCACAGGGTGGAGAGGAGCAAACAGCACCCCAAAGAAAAGGAGAACCACCCACCTCAATCCTCTCACATACCCCATCACCCTCAACTGCCTCTTTTATTGCCCCCATGGAGCCACATTCCCCTGGCTCCCTCCCACTATTGGCTCTTCCCGGGACAACCTTCCCGTTATCCCCAGCTGCTCCTTTGCTATGGCCAACTGGACACACCTGGAAGAGGTTGGGGATGCTTTCCCTCCCGAGCTGCC